TCCTACCTAACGATTCTTATTAATTCGTTGACGGCCAAATCACAAACGGTAGTAGCATGTGCAGTGGTGCTACTGGTACCTAGACTGGAGGGAGGCCAGCAGCAATGACAATACCGAAAACCAAGCGCATGGGTTAAGATAAAATCTAATAAAACGACTGACCTGGAGTAGACGGGAAGAGGAGTGTGGTACGATTTGCAACAATGAACGCTGTAGCTACTCTGACGTGACCTTCATTCTTTGCAACTTGACCTATCCCTAGGCCTAACACCTATTCCACAAAATTCTTCCCTTAAAACAATCTCCTTACCCCTGACTGATGAGCGAACTGTTTATCGGTGGATGTTTTTAGCACGTAACATGTTTTATTATTTGACCCTTGTTATCGGTAATCACATGTAGGTGCTGTGCTCCACCGTATTGTCCGTATAGCTCTGATATGGCAACATTCAACAGGCAACACCATGGGTTTTCTACACGTAAGTGAATACCTAGTCCAAAATCCTCTAGTCTCTCAATCCCTTGGTGATATCTTCGGCTTCAGTTTAGTTTCTACCACTCTTGTACAAACCCTCATCTCCTTCTGCACAAGCTTACCTCCAAACAGTTGGTTTTGGATACTTCTTCAAGCAACTTTGCAATCAGCACAAAGAACTCACCTATGTGTCATGGCACATATACTTCCGCGTAGTATTTTTGTGCTCCTGTTTTGAATTTGCCTGCCACTCGCTTTCGTTACTCATTTTTCAGGTCTACTTAGCCAGCCCATCATCTATATGGAGTCCTAGTAATCGAATTTGTCAGCGTGCTCATGCCATCAAAACTTTGTGACGAGCGCACACAGTACAGGGTCACGGTTGTACTACCCACCCTACCTTCAAGAATATTGAAAGATCCAAACGAAGTCGAATAATTCCCGCTTTCGATCAGCGCCTGCTTCAGTATGCCGAGCAGTTACGTTGGTTTCTATCTGCTTTGTTCCTTGCTGACAGTGAAGCGTTAACGTTCACCATCCAGGAGCACCTCTTACGTGCCGTGAATAACGGTATCTAATGTACAGCTTAACATTGTACATAACAGTCATTTCTCATTACCGAAGTGATCAAACCTGTAAACTGGTTTGTATTCATGCGATTTATGTCTCATGAAATATATTATTATCATTATTACCATTAGAAGACTGGCCAAATCATACCTATTTTCAAGAGCAGTAAACGAGCCCGACGAACCCCTGTATCCTCTCATTCGTAAGTGGTGAGGTAACTAACTAGTGTAGATTTACGCAACTCACCAGTTTGTTCGAACCCTGCCAGCACAGTTTTCGGAAAAAATGTTGTATTGCAAGTTTGCTAACTGCAGTCGCTACGCGGACTAGCATTCATAGCTATCGCTGTAGAATAGACGCAATACACTTCAGTTTTTCTAGGGCATGTAAGTGAGTTACTCATGGCTTCCTCCTCCAGGAAAAGAAGGAAGGCAGGACGTGATCGCCGAATTATCGACTTTTCCTCACTTCCAAGTCCCTCCAAGGATGAGCTGGAGGCAAGAAGAATCGCAAACATGTGGTGGTCATGGGCTTCTGCAAGAAACAATTAGCAGAAAGAAGAGAAGCTTCTTTAAAACAAATTTTATGATAGTGTGTGTTACAAGAGTATCGGCGACTGGTCGTAAGATAATCCAAAATATAAAAACAGCTTTTCAGCACGAGATGGCAGATCTGATGGTGGATGGGAACCACCCTTGTCTTTGAAATGTCCAAGAGTGGTTGGGACCTTTGGATGCGCGAAGACACAGCACAGAAAGCACTACGAATGACATCGAGTACTTGGTAACAGGTGCGGCAACTACTAACCTCTTCTACGCCAGCCGTACCGCTACGGTTATCAAGAGAGTAGAGGCTAGTTGGGAGAACGAAGATAACACATGGTATAAGGTAGATAAAGACAGGCTAAAATTCTAATGTTTAACAGCGTATAGGGAAGAAAAACCGGCTGTACAACATGAGATGGCAGATCTCATGGTTGGGACTTACGGAAACCACCCTCATCTGTGAGAAGAACAAGAATGGCTGAGGCTTTCGGATATGCGAAGACATAGCACAACAAAGACTATGAATAATGTCGGATGCCTGATGACCAGCGCAACCATCTCTAACCTCCTCCATTCATGCCGTATTACTACGGTTAGCAAAGAGGGCAGAGGCTAAGGGGGGGAAAAGCACTGACAGCACATGGCACTGGTAAAGTGGTGGTTGACTAAGATGATGCGGAAATGCTTAACAGTACGAGATGGCAGATATGACGGTGGGGACTTATGGAGACCATCCTTATCTGAGGTCATCAGACCCGATATACGCCCTTCACCCTACCTTCCTTTGGGACTATAGTCACTATCTTCCACTAACCCTGTGAGTGTATATCAAAACTCTAACTGGTACACAAGTGCAAGCGAAGTCACCATCTCTAAGGATTTGTAACACAGATTAAACTAGGATGCGAGAAGTGAACTACATAAAACTTCGAAGGCATTCCGCAAGTGGAACATAGAACTATGTAGCCCAATACTGCTCATGTCTTATTTAGACACTCAAGTTGGCAACATTGCTTCCTTAAACTCTAAGACAACTAACTTCAGTTCTCATGCTTCTATGTTTCTCTTTATCGCCGAGTAGGCAGACCATGATGGAGGATAATGTCAGCACACTGGTTACTGGGATACACTTCGAACTTCTATTCAACACGTGAAAACTATCATCTTTTACCACCTATAGATGCAAATTCACCAGGAGCTGGGCGATTCATCCAGGACACAACCTCTCCTAGGTACATAGCTCCAATATGGAGAGCAACTGTAAATGTTGGTATAAAATGCCATTCGCATCCAAAAATGCAAGTTCTTTCAGTCCTGACAACCACTCGCCTGAAAACAAAGCTCACCGAGAGTGACCTCATGTGACGCGCGTACACTGAAGTCTTATTGAATGGTTTGGTGGTGGTTTTGAAATCTCTCATATTCTCCACCACAATATGACGGCAGCAGCTGGACAGAAATGCATCCCTGGTTTTATTTATTCAAGTGACACTGTTTGCAGTATTGTAGACCTAAACAATTGCTATACGCTGGATGACACCATACAATACCAGAAACAGATTTGTGTCCGCCGTCCATCCAATTGACACGTGCCATCTGTAGACAATACAAACATTATGAATACAGACATATCTCCGGATTCATTTGTTCACAAAATTCGATATGCAATATACTCTAATAGATTTAACGACTCACTATTGCTTCCCATACGGAGTGATTGTGCCCTCATTAATTTTCGCCACTTGTTTAACGATATCGCTCTTATCCAATATTTTTAGCAAGCGGTATCAAAACAGTTGTTTACTCCAGGAGACTTTGCATGGCAAAATGATTTATTTCTTTTTAAACTTATACATTTTTAATAAGGAAACAACATTTAGACATTTCCTGTAAAAATGGCATGTGTTTGTATAACTCATTGTTCGATATATATTATTATCATTAACTTTTCCAACACCCTGGACACCAGCTACAACTACAAAGATATGACAACAACTGCAAAAGCCATCTTTCGCCTTCTGCGCAGATAGCATGGCACCCTCACCCCGAACTCTTCCTCGCCGCTTTCAAATCTTATGTACTGCCACGCTTGGGGGCCTTCAATATGGTGGCCCCCCAACATTCAAGAGACTCCAATCTCCTTGAGAAAAAGCAAAGAACTTAGAGAAAATCAGTTATGAGGCAAAGGGGAAGGCATACCTCGAAAGGCCAGAACATCTAAACCTGTTCACCTTGAGTTACCGCAGAAAGGGGTTGACCTTATAGTGGCCTACAAGATTGCCCATCAGGCAAACCATACAAACAAGTTAGCCTTGCCTGCAATACAGAGGTCTTCACGAGGAAACCCCATAAGAGCAGCACATCATGGAGCAGATACCACGCTGGGTTCAAAATTTCTCAATGAAAGTATGTGCCTTTTGGAATGCCCTATCGTGACATGTCACTAAAGCCTTCTCGGTTGACTCACTGAAGAGATGGCTAGACAGTTATGTCACTACTCATGGTCTACCATGGACGTACTCAGGGATTCACCAACCTCACTAGCCCGCCCTTATCTTCCTTCTACGCACTACTCACTACCTCCCTCTTTAATACACACACTTTAACTACTTGGTCTTATCTAGAGAAAAGACCTACTCTATATACCTTTGAACGACTCCCACATACTTTTTCTCGCTCTTCTATTCCTCATCCTTCCTAGCTTTTTAATCTTAATTTCTTGTGCTTCTTTTTTCCATTTTTTCATTCTTCACCACTACCTTGCCGTTTTCATTCAGTTACCTGCACAGACAATGGGTCACGATGGTTCCCAAACCGTCTCAGCTACCCGCAGCTCCCCAACCACCCTACAAATTGCATCCTACTAACCCACAAAACATCCACCTCACCGAAGTTTACAGCATGAAAGCAGGGGCGACTGCCTCATCCGCTATAGGATTGAACCGGGTAACTCGTACCAAGCTTTAAGAGTTAGACGCGAGAGATCAAGAACTATCAGTTTTCCGCGCTCCCACTACCAACATTGGATACTGTAACAACGAACTCTTTCTATTACACGTGACAACCGAAAAAAGATGGTTCACTGCCTTAACGCACAAAATTCAGTGAGGAGAGGACTGATTTTATCTTTCTGCCAACTATTTGAAACAATCTGAAACAATTAACAAATGGAAATAACCAACTGACTACTGGAGGATCAAGAGTTAAACTCAGAAGGTAGGCGAACCTTCTGTGTCCGCCGGGCAGAGGAGCCTGAGAAAATGAATTTCACTGTAAGATCTAGATATCACAGCTTAGGAAGTGTTGGTTTGCTGAAGTTTTCTAGATAAACATAAGTATTGGAAGGTGGAGGCATTTAAAAGTATAAAGGGTTCCGCGGTTCAATTAAACAAGTTTTCTCCACGTTTATAATGCCTAAGAATAAAGGTTAGTTGTTGTTCGTATTTCATGTAACTTTGGGTTGGAAAGTGGACAGTTCCTTTTCTAATTTGCTCACATTTTTATGATTTAGGTAAAGGAGGGAAAAATCGACGTCGTGGGAAGAATGAAAATGAGAGTCAGAAACGTGACTTAATTTACAAGGAGGCTGGTCAAGGTGAGTGGACGAAACCCATTATCTCCCTTTACCAACATTCAAGTGTTGGTAGCATATTTCGATGCTTGGTGAAGCTCTTTGACTATTCTAGAAATTATAGCTACCTGTGACATTCGGAATAATCATAATATGCTTCTTACCTGCAATAACCATGATGATCGTTTAATACTGTTGACATCCGATCTCTTTTTGGAAGTCTCAGCAGAATTCGAAGGCAGTGTTCTTACTAAGGTGTCCGCTAGTTCACAACTGTGCGAGAAAGAAACTTCCAGACGTCGACGATTCCAATACTGATTTTTTTTATGATTTTCAGTGGCTATTCTTGGTAGAGAAGTCATCTGTATAAGCCATGAATTCAATGTTGTTCACATAACATAGTTGTGTGACATCAGTCACTGTAATATATACTCCTATACAAGATTTAGATTTACTATACCGCCATATAGCTTAGGCGAACTTCGAGTTCTTCTGGTATTCTGCAAAAAACGTTTGCGTACGCTTAAGGACATACACCTATATTTACAGAAAACCATAAATGTTCAAAAACCTCCAAAGACAAATGCAAAAAGTTGCCAAAATACACCGAAAATTGTGCCCAAGTTCCGAAGTCCGCCCGAACGTTTAACCTACACATTCACAAACTTCCAGAGTTTGCCCAAACTTCTCACCCGATATCTCCAAATCCCTCCCAAATACTCCGAAATTCACAAAGTGCACCCTAACTCTCTAATTCATAGTTCGCAAACACCAGACATTACAACTGCCTTCCAAAAACCAACGCATATTACTCATGTGCAGGCACGCATCACACAAGCCGTGGGTGGCGTAATCTGAGTTGTTTTTAAATGAACTTGGTGATAAGTATCTAGTACTGGGTTACTATACATGAAATAAGGGGATGTCAGAAATTCATGGTCAAATCACGAGTAAAACAAGCTGGTACTATCTCACTCGGTTGGTATATTTCCTTATTGAGTAATACAAAGTAGGGCTATGGCAAGTACGCTGAAGTCACAAATGTCATATACTTCCACTGATTTTCAGAAGAGGGACCGTAATTTACAATAATGACCGCAGATGACGGCTTGAGACTACACTGGATTAAGGAGCATCCAACGTGGGAGGCATTGGTTTAACTGTCTGAATTTCCCCCTCTCCATCCTTAATTAACGAAGGACTCGAGGATAATTATGAAACAAGCGGTTGACGAGGTCAAATGAATCACGGACTTCCTTTTACACTGATCTTAAAAGTCAGCTCGATAGTGTTCAGAAAGTAAAGACCCAAATACTGACCAACAAAATACCAACGCAGTTGAAATTTGATGGTGCACAACTATCTATTAACTTGTAATATGGTCGGTTCTCCGAAGAATTATCAACACCAAAGTTGGTGATGTACTTTTGGTAGGTGTAAACTGTGGTTCATATAAGTACAAGTAAGTGAATTCTTAATGCATTGGTTACTCAACTACTGAAGCTTAGGTTTAAGCAACAGTACTGGTTACTGTTAAGTAGTTTTAAAAGATGTTATTCCTAATACACCATCATGATCATTCGTCAAGCTTCTTTTAGGACATAACTCAAACAAGGCTGCGATAAATGAGGTCGCTTGCAAGCGTGGTTACCGCATGGTCTATTTAATCTTAGGCGGTAATCTTTGTAAAGACGACCGCCTCAGGCGCAATTCGCATTCACAACGCCATAGGGGTATGTCAGTTTCGAAAAAGTTCCAAATTGGTATCGTTAAGTCCTAGCCAACGGACCTCATGTTCGGATGTAGTTCGTAAACTCCTAGGTTTATAGAAAATGAATTTTTGAAGGTGGGTGGTGAGAGTAACCACCTAATGGATGCCGTCATTAAGTGGCTAGGTTCACACAAACCCACCCTATGTGACAGCGTAAGTGTAAACCCTTATCTGAAGTAGACAAGTTGATAACAGATTAGGATATTCTTCTTGTAGTGAGGCTTCTCAAACCTTAAGGATATCCTCCCAATTATCCTTTTTGACAGTTTCTCCGACTTATTTTTAGGTGCTTATTTACTGAATTATCCTGACCATCGCATTTGCTACCTTGCTAACCTTCAACTATTGGTAAGAAAAATTGTGAATAACTTGAGAATTATTTTAGGAATCGGAAAGTGTCTGATGTTCATAGTCTTTTACATTTGTGACGATGTATCTGATCATGGCCCACTGGAATCATTCTCGTGCTTCACTTTCTAGTTATAAACACACTCCCTCCAGCAGTTAGTTAAAGGTTCAAACAATTCAACCATTCAGATTCGTAAGCATATAAATGAAAGATGCAACTTCGAGAGTATTTCTACCTTGCTTTATGATTCTTTGCACATTTCAGTGGATATGGATAAAGTACCATCTATTACCAGGCAATTCAAGATCACAACTTCTCTAGATAATCACATCCTACTGGATTCCCGTCCAAGTATTGTTTGTGAGGTAATGAAGTTACCCCCTGTCTCAACCTGACGCCTTTTTTAAACATGCCATTCGATTCTACTCATTTGAAAATATACAAGGTAGACAATTTTGAGGCTACAGCTTATGTTATGCTTTATGATAAGACGAATACCCTAGAAATATGCAGACAAAGATAACTGTTTACTTCGTTGGTTGTACACAATATCACATGGGAATAGGAATGCCTAAAAAAGAATTACAACACAGCTTACGAATTTCAGGTGGAAGAATACTGCAGTCCATCAACTGTATACAAGACGTAAAATTGTCTGTTGCAGAAGTATGGAGCATGGGATTGACGACGAAGTTGATAAGTGGTAAGCATACGCTTATATTATGCCTTATGATAAGGCCTAAGTTTGTCTACTTACTGCTTACCAACTTCGTCATTCCCATGCTTCATACTTCTATAACTTAGCCAGTCTTACGTTCTGAATAAAGTCGATGAACTGAAGTGTATTTCTGCCTGAAATTCGTAAGTTGTGTTGTACTCTTTCATCCATTTCCAAGTAACACTGTGTGCAATCACTGAAATAGAATCATCTTCATGTTTGATATAAATTTTTGTGCACGTATATCTGAAGTTATTCACCGAAATTTTAATTTCGACGTATGTTGAGTTACATTAACGGCATGTACGATGAATGCCTGCACATGAGTAATATGCGTTGGTTTTTGGAAGGCAGTTGTAATGTCTGGTGTTTGCGAACTATGAATTAGAGAGTTAGGGTGCACTTTGTGAATTTCGGAGTATTTGGGAGGGATTTGGAGATATCGGGTGAGAAGTTTGGGCAAACTCTGGAAGTTTGTGAATGTGTAGGTTAAACGTTCGGGCGGACTTCGGAACTTGGGCACAATTTTCGGTGTATTTTGGCAACTTTTTGCATTTGTCTTTGGAGGTTTTTTGAACATTTATGGTTTTCTGTAAATATAGGTGTATGTCCTTAAGCGTACGCAAACGTTTTTTGCAGAATACCAGAAGAACTCGAAGTCCACCTAAGCTGTTTGCCGATTCGATTGATAATAGTGAGTTGGCGACCGTTGCAGCAGCCTCCGCTCTTGTGTAGTGGCAGATTTTAGTTCGCCTCAGTTGAAGGTATCCCGATGGAATCGGCTAATTCACTCGATAGTAGTCTACTTCTCGTTACCATGTGACATTTTCGGACATTTTTGACGTTCTGTTCATTTTTGCTTGTGCGAAGGGTTGTCGCTAGGTGTTTTCTGAAGCCCTGTTGCGGTGGACATACTCAACCGGCGCATTCTTCGTGTATTATCGAACGGAGGTCGCTCAGTGCTCCTGTTTTTGCTCTTGGTTTTTGATATAATCCATGACTTTATCTAACCTCGCTTAATGTCTGGCATGCGAAAGAGATGGTTATAAGAGGATTTTGTCGATGACCAGAATGGCCAGTTGATATCACTTCGTCTTTTGTCGATGTGTATCGTAAGTTTAATGACAACTAAAAACGTTACTCATCCTCACGTACTTTGTTCTATCCTGTAAAAACGTACTGACTGTCGTCTGTCGATATCCAGACAGACTAAGAAAGCACTCCATCCGTCGGAGAGATTGTGAAACCCCTTAATTACAACGATTTTTGACCAGGTTGGAAATTATTGTATAAGCGCGACTAGATCTTACCTGCATATGAAAAGGAGTTCGTTCAGGATACCCAGATCTTTCCTGAGGAATCATACTTTTGCATTAGGAAAATAACTTGAGGGAACGAGTCTATCTCGTCCTTGTTACTGCGTGTCTCGATTCAAGTGACTGCTACTACTACCGTCACTGAAACTTTACCACAATGCTTCAGCCAAGTATTCTCCGGAAATTGTATCCAGTATATGGGAACTGTCCGTTGGAGATAGCCGACGAGTAAAGCCAATGCTCATTGGGGAAGTCGTCTTAAAATTATCCATAACGTCGACCTTGGCAAATTTTATTCTATTATCTTAGTTGCCTATATGTCAGTGATTCGATGGGGATCGCTCACAAATTAGATCCCATTATCAGTTAAGTCCATATAATATAACTGGTTGTAGATGCCTACTGGCTGAGTTATTCAGTTAGTCCAACTAGTTTGGCTGGTAAGCCTAAGAAGTATTATACGTAGTGCCATTCTTATACATGTCGTGGGGCGGGTTTTTGGATATAAAACATCATGATTTTAGGACCAGTCATTCGTGCTTAACATATTTCATCACTGAATTAGAGGACTGGATTGATATTGACAGTGTTTCAACTAATGTAGTATTCGTTGTCTTCAGCACAGCTTTCGATAAGGTCTTTCGCTTAGATATCATGAAACATCTGGAAAGCTTCGGAATTGATAGTATGATTAGAGACTGGGTGAAGGACATTCTTTTCTATCAATACGGAGTTCAGCGCTTCAGAGTAATATCCTAGGTCTACTTCTCGTTTCGCTCTATGTAAATGAATTGCCCAAGATAAGTAGATGTTTCATCCATATGCTTATAAGCCATGTTAAACTCTGGATAATCATTCTCAGTGACGGAGGTAGGATGCTTCTATAGTACGACCTAAGTCCTTTATTAGACTAGTGCATAAAATAAGCTCTACAAGTTAAAACCACCAAAACTGTAGCCATACCAATCGGTTTTGACAACGTATATGAACGTCTTTTATTTGTGAAAATGAACAATGAGGTTTTAGAAAAAGACTGATTGAGCGAAGAAACATATTCCTTTTCAATTAGGTCTTCATCTTGGGTTCTACACTAATATATGGGTTTACAATTTAATCAAATTACCAATCGCGTTGTGATGTTTCGGAAATAATGATGTAAATAACCAATAGAGTTACTAAAATTGGAAGTATGAATATTGATAGAAACAAGAAGGGAAAGAGGTGTACAAAGTAAACCTATAAGTTACATCATGTTGACGGCCACGGTAATGAAAGTGGTGGAACAAACTTCTTTTGGATACAAAGGCTAGGTTTATGAAGGTGGATTACAATCGCTTCTTCTATGTGAAGTAACCTAGTGCGTAATCCATTAGGTAAATTAATTGAAATCTGATGGATGATTTTGAAGGCTTTTCCAGTAGCCACTTGATGTCCTGTGTCAACTAAGTGTGCAAGTATGGAGCTCTTTGTAGTTCTAATTTGTCCCTTGTTCAACCATGATGGGTGGTGCTCAGAAATTCGACGATAGAACTGCCTCATTGTATGCCCAATGTAACTAGCTCCAAGGAGCAGTTGAATTGATAAATGCACATTAGTGGCATAATCAGGCAGTTTGTCTTTATTTCTTGCACCTAGAATCGGGCGGTTGTAGAAGGCAGGACATAATGTAGTGGCTGGGAATGCTTTATTCAAAACTCTTTTTATGTGTTATGTGATGATCTCACTGGCAGTGTCACTCTTAAATTCCAGCTTGAAAATTTGCTTCTTAGGAACTGTTGGCATTGTTGTCCTAACCCTCATAATATTCATGTGCTTAGTTACAAATCTGTCTGGGTAGCCATTCCTTCTAAGCAGATTACGGATGGTGGCGCACTCTTCCTTTATAGAATCCTGAGCAAATAGCTGAAGCACAGTATGCTAAGCATTTCACTAGGTTCCTTTTGTATTTGAGGGTAGAGCACTAAGGAAGTGCGTATATTGACCTATTGATGTTGGCTTTCTATAAACACTTCGCTTCAGGGTTCCATATGACCTTCTTACCAACTCCATAGATTATAAAAAGTACTAGAAACGTGCACTTACGAAGCAGACGTAGTTGTGCTCAATTCGAAAGTTTACTATTAGTTGATGAACTGAGCCTTCCTCTACTAAGGTGGCTAGAACACACGTTCTGCACGCCTCACCTTCGTATATCTTGACGTGTCGTGTTGAATAAAGCAGATTCAGGTTGGAGAAAAGCTTAGGGTGAGTACGCTAAAAATGGTATCAATCTCTCAAATTCCTTGTCATTAGTCTGAACTGTATAGGAAAATGTAAGCTTTATGGTTGGATTCTACACCCAACCACATGGTAGTGGGGACATTTCCGTTAAGCTTCATTCTTATACACATAATAAAAGCATTAACAGTCATTACGCCCACTAACATCACTGTGTTGCTAGGTAAGGTAAGCCATACAAAACAGTATTTGTTTAATTTGTTGTCTAGTAGTGGTCTAGATTGACGAAGATCCCAGCGACCCAGTCTGTCTGAGTATAACAGTATTCCAGTAGGTTAGGGGTTATGGGATTCATTTTATTGTAATACAAAATGCCAATAGTTTGGTAGGCAGTCTCAAGATAAAACAAGTGAGAAGCCAGGAGGAAAACTTGATTTAAGGAAATGTGTGATTTTAGTGGTTCCATACGATTGATTAGAGACAGAATCTTCTTTATTGCCGGATAGAGAACGATTTTGTAGCTTTTTGAACTTGAGTAACTAGAAGGTGATTTAAAAGAACAGAGAAAAAGATGACTTTACAACACTTATTATCTGCAACTCAACTGAATATTTTGTTGTTTTCTTACGAAATAATTTGAATTGAATAACGGTCAGGGATTGATCAGTTATCCTATATGATGCGTAATTTTGCCAAGTTTTATGTATTCGTGAGTGACTGGTAATTCAAGCATATTTTTTCTAAAGGAAGTATTTGTCTTTCATAGAATATGCGAAAGTAGAACGTCTTCTAGGAAATGGGAGATTAGAAGCCTATTGTTTTGATGGTGTCAAAAGACTGTGTCATATCCGGGGAAGTTGCGTAAAAAGGTAATTTGATAATTATCACAGTATTTAATGTATGCTCATAATGTTTGCAGTATGAATGCAATTATATTACCATTTCAGGGATTTTGAAAGCAACGTAATATATATGTGATTGGGAAGTGGCTTTTTTTAAATTTTTTGCCTTAAGACTGATATATTTCGGTGTACAAGTCAAGACTAGTATATTACGATACTAAAGATTACCTGTTTGTTCCGACTCTATATGACATTCACTGTAGTCAGCATGG